GAAGGAAGAGGAGAAAAGGGAGGAGAAGGAAGAGGAGGAAGAGAAGAAGAGGAGGATAAAAGGAGAAGGGGAGGAAGAGGAGGAAGGGAAGGAAGAGGAGAAAAGGGAGGAGAAGGAAGAGGAGGAAGAGAAGAAGAGGAGGAGAAAAGGAAAAGGGGAGGAGGAGGAGGAGGAGAAAGAAGAGGAGGAAGGGGAGGAGGAAGAGATTTCTTAAAACAAAATTGCTCACTTCCCAAAGCTCACCATTATCAAAGGCTCAACTGCAGTCAAAGGTGGATTTATTTAAGGTTTCTGAGCCAGATTCCTGCTTTTTGCCTCCCCAAAGAATCCCACTGAATATCTTCTGGTCCAACTACCTCACAGGGGCCTGGCTTAAAATAAAATAAAATAAAAACAAGGGGACCAACTTCACGCAGGCAGTCCTCATCTTACAACACTTTGCTTAGTGACCGTCCCGAGTTACGATGACACCAGGGAACCGTTTTTCCACACTTGGCGACCGTGGTGGTAACCGCCATGGTCAGGTGATCAAAATTTGGATGCCGGGCAACGGGGTTCAGGGTTACGACAGTGGCGGTGTCTTGGGGCGAGGGGACCCATTTGGAGGGGGCGACCTTCTGGTAAGGCAAAATCCGAGGAGGAGGAAGCCAGACTCGCTGAACAGCCGTGTTGCTAATTCAACGACCGCGGGCGATTCCCCTTAACGACGGCGGCAAGGAAGTTCGCAAAAAAGGAAACGACGTTCCCTTCCTTGCGGTCTCGCTTAGCAACGGAAGCGCCGGGCTCCATTCCGGTTGCGAGATGGAAGACCGTTAAGTCAAAAGGGAACGACAACTGACGCCCAAATACGGCGCAGCGCGGCTTTTCCCTGCCTAACTAAAGGAAGGGCCGCATCTAGCACAACGCAACGCAAGCCACAAGCTTCAACGGCATCCGTGTGTGTGTGTGTGTGTGTGTGTGTGTGTGTGTAAAACCTTTGGACTGACCTGCTTGTGCTGTTCCTCCAGCCGCCACGAGGGCCTCCCAGTAGAGGACCCGGAATAGAGCAAGTTGGGGGTTTCTTTCCCCGCTTGGTCCTTTCCCTGGAGGTGCCGCTGGGACGCCCCCAGGCCTTGGAGGGGCTTAGAGGACGGGGTCACTCTTTGGTTGTGGGAAACCGCTTTGGAAGCGTGAAAGTACTTGAGAGCCGACCGGGCATCCTGGCCACTTCTGGGGGCATTGTCCTCCAGGTCTCCGTCTTCCGAATCTTCCTCCCCTTCTTCTTCCTCCTCCTCCTCCTCTTCCTCCTCCTCCTCTTCCTCCTCCGAGTTCAGAGCGCTCTGATCAAAGGTCCGAGAAGCCCCCAAGAGGGGGGCCATTCGAGCGGAAGGCCCGAGGAGGGGCCCAGCGGAGACTTTGCCGGGAGGGGAGGCCAGATTCGCTTGCTGGACCGTCCCCTGCGGAGGGAAGGGCAGTGGAGGGTCCCTCATCGGCCTCGGGGGCCGGTCTCGGGACTCCATGGGGAGAGGGGCCACCTGCTGCTGCTGCTGTTGCTGCTGCTTCTGCAGCTGTTCCACGACGGCCTCCAGCTTCATCCTGCGCTTCTCATGGCTGGGCGGAGAAAGGAGTTCGGGGGGACGCGGCTCCAGGCGAAGCCTTCGCGGGATCTGAAACACAAATGAAGAGGCCTAGGTCAGAGGTGGGAGTCAGCCGGTTCTGAACCCGTAGTTCGGAGAACCAGAAAAATCCCACCTCCTACTGGCCCCGCCAACCCCATCTCTTCTCTGCTTCCCATTGAGTCCCAGCTGATTGGCTGGGCCTTCTTCGGTTGCCCTGCACAGGAGAACGGAGCTGGAAAGCAGGTTAGTGGGGTGGGGAGGGAAGGGGGATTTTGCAGTATCCTTCCCCTGCCATGCCCACCAAGCCACGCCCACACCACACCCACAGAACCAGTAGAAAAACATTTGAACCCACTACTGGATAGAATAGAAATACAACAGAATAGAATAAGAATAGAGTAAGGAATAAGAGTAGAGTAGAACTAGAATAGAATAAGAGTTGGAAGGGACCTTGGAGGTCTTCTAGTCCAACCCCCTGCTTAGGCAGGAAACCCTACACCACTTCAGACAAATGGTGATCCAATCGCTTCTTAAAAACTTCCAGTGTTGGAGCATTTACAACTTCTGGAAGCAAATAATTGCTGTGCTGTCCTTCCCTTATCTTCCCGCCAAACAGAGGTGGAATTCAGCCGGTTCTGACCAGTTCTGGAGAACCGGTAGCGGAAATTTTGAGTGGTTCCGAGAACCGGCAAATGCCACCTCTGACTAGCTATTCTCCCATCTATTCTCTGCCTCCCATTGAGTCCCAGCTGATCGGCTGGGTCTTCTTTGGTTGCCCTGCACAGGAGAACGGAGCTGGAAAGCAGGTTAGTGGGGTGGGGAGGGAAGAGGGATTTTGCAGTAACCTTCCCTTGCCACGCCCAAGCCACACCCACAGAACCGATTGTAAAAAAAAAAATTTAAATCCCACCACTAGCCTGGATAATGACTTTTGCCTCCACCCTGCTTCCAAGGAGCTGCAAAATGAAAGTGGACTGGGGAAAGACACAATTGCACAAATGCACAATTCCATGGTTTTTTTTTTGTCTTTATGGAATTCCAGATTTCTCTGCAAAGCAATGACTTCCTGGTAGTAAACAAAAACAAAAACAAAAAACACAACCCACCCCAAATCAGTATCAAAAATAATTGTATCCTATGGGGGCACTAGACACTAGGAAGATACATTAACTTGGTTAAACAAATAGTATGACTTTTATTGTTATTAATATTAATTGATATTAACGCAATGAATATTGTTGTAAACACTGGGATTATTTCCTAAAATGATTTGTACCCAGACCACACGCTGTTCAATTGAAATTGGAATTTTCATATGTTATAAAGTAAAAACTTATTACAAAAAAAAAAAAAACTTTATCGTATGGGGGCACTAGACACTTTCTTGTCCTGCCATATTGTCTTTGCAAATGTCTGTTCCTGCATAAGGAGAGCGAAATAGGATTACAGCTCCAGGGAAGGGGAGAAGGAAAAAACAAAAACAAACCCTTGCAATGTCCACCAATTGTTGTTCTGGCATTACAGTTTAAGAAAGGCATGCAGAAAGATCTTTATTCAGAAATGTGTAGAGCCCACTTAGTTCTTCCTCCGTTGCTATATGCTGCTCTAATTCCAGGGTTAGGGTAAAAACAAGAGATGGGGAGGGAGCTGAATGCACACAGAAGTTTATTCAGCAAACTCAAGAAGCCAACGCAACTGAAAAACTTACAAGCTAGTCCTCAAGTTACAACAGTTTGTTTAGTGACCGTTCAAAGTTACAAGGGCGCTGGACAAAGTGACTTAGGACTGGTTTTCACACTTACGTCCATTGCAGTGTCCTGGGTTCATAGGAACCCCTTTGGCGTCCTTCTGACGAGCAAGTCAATGGGGAAGCCAGATCCCCTTAACAGCCACGTTAGTAATTTAACAACTGCAGTAATTCATTCCCCAAGCACCCCACACTCCTCCTCCCCCACTCCCCTCTTAACGCTGATGATGTTACCTGGTTGGGTCATGAAACGTCTGCAATGTAAACCCACCCAGCTCAGAGATCCCCAAGGACTCCATTGTCCTCCTATTCTTCCTCCTCCTCTTTCACTTCCTCCTCTCCAAAAACCCACCTCTCTTCTAAGACTGATGATGTGACCTGGTTGGGTCATGAAACGTCTGCAAGAAAAGCCCCAAGGACCCCTTTCGTTTCAAGCCTGAGCTACAAATATTCTCCTTGAAATAAAGAAACGTTGAACGTGCATCCTCTCGCCATAAATACCCACACGAGGCAGCTTCCAGTGCTTCCAGTGGTTTGCAAACCAAGGCGATGAGAATCTCCCTCCCTGCCTCATCCATCTTTGGTGTGTCTGTCTTTAATCTCGGTTCCCTTCCCATGGCTACCTCAGCAACAGGCTTTCCAGAAGTACAAGGAGAGGCCAAATGCCTCTGAAGGAGAGAGGGTGGGCGGGCACACACAGAATGAAGCAGGCAGAGAGGGCATTTAGCCCACCCTGGGGCAGCCACAGGGATCCAGAAAGGGAGTCCGATCTCCCTTGGCAACTGATTCTAATCCTGACAAAAGCCGTTTCGTTCATTCACTGTAGATGTAGAGACCAAGCCGAGAAGGGGGAAGAAAAAAAAATATAGAAAGTCCTCGCCTTCACGACCACAATTGACCCCCCCCCCAAAGTTTCCATGGCTAACGAGACAGTGAAGTGAGTTTTGTCCTGTGTTACAACCTTTTGGGGGAATCACTGCAGCGTGTTCGGTTACTAAGACGGTTGTTAAAACGAATCTGGCTTCCTCGTTGACTTCGCTGGTCTCAGGGGGTCGCAAAAGGGGATCGCCGCAACTGTCATAAATATGAGTCCGTTGCCAAGCACCTGAACTTTAATCCCATGATAATGGGGAGGCTTGCAACGGTCATGTGAAAAATAGCTGTAAGTCACTTCCCCCCCTCCTCCCCACCCAGTGCCTTTGTAACTTCAGACATTAAATGAATGGTTTTAAGTCAAGGACTACCTACAGTAAATTTTGCGGCTCTTGGGTAGCTGGCAAGAAGCAACAAGAAATCTCTTCGCAGCTGGCAAGCCTGACTTCAAGAGTCTGTCCGTCACAGTCAAGAAAGCAATTGTGACTCTCAGATGTAATAACAAGAGTTGATGAATTGCACCTACTATTTAAGGTTCAATGTGAGGCGTAATATTCCCACCCTCTGCCACGACTGTGCTTTAGGGCACCCAGTTTGCTTTGTGTGTCACTTCTGCCTTTCAGATGAATTTATTTTATTTCCCGAAGTCCAATTTTTTGTAATTTAGAAACACCACAGGGCACGGGGGTCCGGTGAAGTGCCATCTACAGGGAGATAATGAATAAGAGGACAGTAAATAATGAATGAGCCATGGTCAAAAGATGAAAGGCAACAGCCACACAATCATTAAAGGGAGGAAATACATGGGGGGAATCGTTATTGGAAGAGAATTTCTTGGTGTGGTGAGAAACCAAATTGCGAAGGGAGAATGGAAGAACAATTCCTTTTGTTTTTTGTTTTTAGCTACTCCTCTGCCGGGCACAGAAGCACTTAGCTTCACCGAGATAAGATGCATAACTTTAGCCAAACAGACCCTCCAAAAGAGCAATAGGATGTTTTGCTAAAATTAAATATGCCCGTCTCCACCAGCAATAAAACAACCCCTCTTGCTATTTTAAGAAAGACCGAATCATCAAGAATTTCCCGTGACTCTCTTTAATGTTCTGCGAAACCAAAGTGGAAGGTCATCAGCAACCCTGTTAACACTGAGACTTGTTATCAATTTACAGTTGTCTTTTTTTTACTACAAAGACAATTCAATGCATGCATGCAGGAACTAAAGGATCCAACAGCCAAATGGTAGCAACTAAAATGCTAACACTATTTGAAACGTGCTTAATTTACAATTAGTCTTTGACTTATTGACTGTTTGCTTAATGACCGTTTGAAGTTATGATGGTGTCGGGGAAAAAATCACTTACAACTGGTCCTCACACTTAAAACCACAAGACATGAAGCGACTGCAAATACAAGCTGATTACCAAGCGCCTAAAATGCAACATCGTGCAAAGTTGCAACAGCCACACCCCCCCCCCCACGGTAGTTATGACCCGGTTTTGAAGTTCTGATGGTTGCAATTTCACACACACACTCCCAAATTGCAACCATCCAAATCTGGTTGTAACTATATTTGGGTTGCAGGCTGTGGCAACTTTGCCGGATTGCTAAGTCACCAGTCATTAAGTGAGGACTGCCTGCACATAAAATTTAAAATACATCGCCAACAGATAATTTCCAAAGAAAATCTTACAAACACTTTTAAACAACTTCTCATTTGGCTGCAGGCAGCCTAAAAAGTCAGCTTCCTGGCCTGGAAACCTCAGTTGTGCAAGAGGTACATTTGCATATTAATAGGATTAAGATAATTTACCCCCTAATGCTTTCTTTGTGCATAATGATATAACCCACAGCTGAGTGACATGATACAGGCTGGCTTTGAAAAAAATCTCAAAGGCCCAAATTAGCCACTAGATTCTAACTATGGACATAACTCAAAGCAGCAGCTAATAATTCAAAACAGAAAAGGCAACAAATACTTTCAACTCATAGCCACGCTTGGCAGGCAGAGCAACATGGAACTTGGAGGCTTGTCTAGTGCCAGCCTTTGCATCGACAATCCACGGCTTTTCGATAGCCGCCCTTTCTTTCATTATAGCAGGTTGATAAAAGTTCTGATGGATCGAAGAATATTTTCTTCTGTGTTTTATACCATTGGCAACTGAAAGGGACTTCATTAACACCAGCCTGAAGAGAAGAGTCATACAGTGCTTACTCAAGCAGAACTCAAGGTTTACTCTCCAAAAGACTCGGTAGGATCAGAGGGCAATGGCCTCCACTACATAAACCATGACTAAAAGCATCGTACAAAGGAGGTGCAACGTTTGCTGTCCTCACCAATTGTGGCCCATTAAGTTTGGTGCAGTGATTAAGGCACCAGGTTAGAAATGTGGGAGATGGGGAGTTCTAGTGCTGCCTTATGCACAAAAGTCGGCCGGGTGACTTTGGATCGTTTACCAGAAAGCTGGGAGTTCTAGTCCTGCCTTAGCCATGAAAGACGGTTGGGTGATTTTGAACCAATCACCAGGAGGCTGGGAGTTCTAGTCCCACCATAGGCATGAAAGCTGGCTGGGTGACTTTGGGCCGGTCCCAACCTCTCAGCCCAGCCCACCTGGGAATCCATTGCAGTAACTCCGAGGGCACCAGGTTGGGGATAGCTGCAGAACTCCCACCACCACCACCACAATCCTGGAGATGTCCAGTGTTCTGAACTACAACTCCCATCATCTTCACATCATCGCAAAGAAAGGGGTCCGGCGTGGAGCACAGCTACCCATTTTCAACACCTCCGCCAGGTCAGGGACACACTGCAGACCCCTTGCCCCATAGGTGGGGCTGTCTAAGGCTCTGGACTACAACTCCCATCATCTTCCCCATTTGCTTGGCAAGGATGGGGAAGGGCATGCTGAGGGTGGGGAGCCCATGGCAACCACTCTGGTGGGCACCAGCTTGGGGACAGCTGATCACACGCATACACCCACTCCCCAAATCTGGGGCTATCTAGGGCTCCGGACTAGAACTCCCATCACCCCTTCCTCACTTGCTTAAGAAGGATAGGGGGGGGGCATGCTGAAGGTGGAGGATGGGAGGGAAGAGCGGGAGCCCATTGCAAGACCTCTGGTGGGTGCCAGGTTGGGGATCGCAGCAGCAGAACACCCCCCCCCCCCCCCCCCCCAAAAGCTGCAGCCATCTAGGGCTCTGGACTACAATTCCCATCACCTTGCCCTCTGGCTTGGCAAGAACTGGGCCGGCTGGGGGCAGCAAGAGCCCCTTTGCAACCCTTCCAGTGGGCGCCAGCTTGGGGACAGCTGATCACCCCCCACACCCCCAAACCTGGGGCTATTGCTGGCTCTTCCCTCCCTTCCCCCAGCAGCCCCCCCTCATCCTCTCCAAGCAAGGGGGCAAGGGGATGGGAGTTGTAGTCCAGGTAGCGCCAGGTTGGGAACAGCCGATCACCCCCCCCCCCCCCCCCCCGCCAAACCTGGGGGCTATCTAGGGCTCTGGACTACAACTCCCATCATCTTCCCCACTTGCTTGGCGAGCATGAGACCGGGGGAGGGGAGGGGGCTGAAGAGGGTGGGGGAGGGGAGCCCGGGAGCCCATTGCAACCCCTCCGGCGGGCGCCAGCTTGGGGAAAAGGCGGCAGGAGAGGGACCCCGCGACCCCCCCCCAAAAGCGCCCCCGGGGCTTCCCCGCCCGGCAGCTCCGCGCCCTCCCCGAAAGAAAGCCCCGGGCAGAGCCCCCCCCCGGGAGAAAGGGGGGGTCCCCGGGGGAGGGGGGGCATCCCAGCCCGGCCCCGCCGCTCGAGGGGGGCGCCTGCCCCGCAGCCCCCCCCCCGCCCCTTACCTCCTCCTCCTCCTCCTCCGGCGGGGTCTCCTTCGCCACAGGCGCAGCGCCCGCCCGCAACAGCCGCCTCAGCCGCGCCCCCAGCCCCCTCCCCCACCGGGCCGGAAAGAGAGGCCGCAGGAGGGGACTCTATGGGCCACGCGCCGGAAGGGGCGTCACTGAGCGGGCCCGGCCAGAGGAAAGGAGGAGGAGGAGGAGGAGGAGGAGGCGGGGCCCGTTCGCCACTTCCGGTATGGGGGTGCAGAAAGCTCAGCGTGTTTTTGGCTGTGAGAGTGGATTTTATTTATCCTTTAAAAAAACGGTTATTTTTCACCCTGAATTAAATGCAGAGAAGAGAGAGGAAAGCATGCCCCAAATTCCACTATCTATTATTTTAATAGGGGGGGAGAAAATACTGAAAGTCACAAAAATATATAAAAAGGCATATAGTCGCAGATATACAATAGCCATATAGAGAATATTTGTAGCTGCAAGGAAACAAACTCAGAGAGCACCCAGGAGCATACACACATGTATATTTATATTTATATAATTGCACATATTGTAATTTTTTTTAAGGAACAGAAGCCATATATGTAATTTGTTACATTCATCTATTCTTCATTCTACATAGAGCAATTTTGCAAGAGATGTTGGTTTTTCCAGAATGAATACCAGTAGCTGCAAGAAAGCAAACTCGGAACACCCAGCATCCTACATACATTTATATTTATATTAATAAAATTGCACATATTGTAAATTCTTAAAAGGAACAGAAGCCATATGTGTAATTTGTTATACTCATCTATGCTTCGTCTAGAATAGATCAATTTTGCAGGCCAGGGAATAGTTGGAGCTGTATGTCAGTCTTTCCAGAACTGAATAATAAGTATTTTAACTGCTTGTGCATTGGTGAATTGTTAGAAGAGTCCATTTTAAAGATGCCGCATAATGATAATAGATTTGATAGGTGGATAAAAATGCCAAATCCAGTCAAAAGACTTGTCTGACTGCAACAAGCCAATATATAATTATCCTCTGACTCTCAGTAACTGGACAGCTCAACAATTACTTAAAATATATGCAAATGATGTGTAGATGCTCTTCATTTGACAGGCTAAGTTAGGAACAGATTAATTCTACTTTATGGAAGAATGCATCATATTAGTATTAAATTTATTTAGGCTGCCCACTCAAAAAAACAAACAAAAAAAAACTGGGCTGCCAATAGGGATTTACAACAATTAATGGCTGAATAATGCAATAAAATACTAAGCCAAAACAAACAGAAACAGATAATCCAGAATATAATCTAACTATGTGATCACTAAAAGGCAACAACTTGATGCATAATCAATTATGGAATTTGGCATACAGTCTACGTACAAACATAATTATACAGTCCCACCTATGTATTTATCAGATAAAAATGAAGAATATTCAATTGGATCCGGACTTGAGCTCAATGTTTTGTTGCAATGTAAACACTTAGCACAATATTAGTCCAGTCACTAATTACACATGAATTACATGCAATTAGTATATCAAATTCTCCATCACAAACTACTTCTTTATAAATCTACTTCCATTTCATTGAGTTTAAAGGGGGTTACTCTTAAACACTGAATGGGAACTGTAGTTCTACACAGCTTTTCATTTCAGAGGCAAATGACACCAAATTAGAAGTACAAATCTGTCTGCTTCGCTTTGCACATTTATTAGAGTAAGCCTTATTAAAATAAGATTTGAAATAAACTTAAATTTGCCACTTCAGAATAAGTCTGTTTGTTCACATTACTATTTACACACATTGCAGGTAGTTCTTGACCTACAACAATTCATTTAGTGATTGTGTTGTGGTTCGCCGGCAGCCTGTGCAATCGGACAGTGGGGAAGAACGGGGACCAGTCCGGGAGTCTGGGGAGGACTTGGATGAGGGTCCTGCGTCCAATGCAGAGATGGGGCCAGGACCATCTTGAAGTGGGGTGCTGCCCCCGGAGCCTTCGGAGTCTGGCAGTAGCGAGGCCAAGGAACAAGGGGAGCCTGTTCCCAGTGTGCGTATACACAGAGCTGCTAGAAGGCGAGAGCAGCTGAAACAAAAGGGGCGATTCCGGAGTAAGGCTGGGAGGTGATTGCCCCTCCCATAAGATATCAAGGACAGGCAAAGGTGATGAAACCTTTGCAGGAAGCAAAGTCGTTCGGTCGGTTCAGACTCGTTCTTGAGATTCATTGCTGGCTGGGAATGAAAATAATTCCCAGTGTTTCAATAAAACAAGACTTGTTTTTTTAAAAAGTATGTGCGTAATTACAGTCTTGGAAGCCTTGGTTTGAAGTTACAACAGCACTGAAAAAAGTGACTTATGGCTATTTTTCACACCTTTGACCATTGCAGATCCCCATGGTCATGTGATCAAAAACTCAGCCACTTAGCAACTGACTCACATTTATGACAGTGGCAGTGTCCCATGGTCACGTGATCCACTCTTTGTGACCTTCTGAACAAGCCTAAGTCAATGGGGAAGCCAGATTCATTTAACCACTGTGGCAAGACAGGTCGTAACATGGGGCAAACCCCACTTAACAAATGTCTCACTTAGCAACAGAAATTTTGGACTCAATTGTGGTTGTAAGTCGAGGACTACCTGTACTTTTATTCAAAGCAGTGATTGATCTTTATTCTCTTATTTGTAATGGCTGATTTTCATTTTAGTTTAGTGTCAGAACTCCGACATGCACCCCCATTCAAATCATAAGTCTCGAGCCGCATCGCTCAGAGTGAAAAAGATTGATTTATTAGGAGTTGACATGTCGGTGTTTCCCGATTGCGGCTGACTCTGACACATCATTCATTTCACCCTTGACCTGGTCTTCCCCACCCCCACCCCTGGACATATATTCACCAATGAGACACAACCATAGCCAAGAGTCATCAGTCTTACTCTCCAGTAATAATTTTCCACAGCCAGAAACTTGGGTTGCCAAAGCGATTATCTGAAGCTTTTAAGGAATGCACTGCTTCCCCACCTCCCTTCCTGCTGACAACTAAAAAGAAGTATTACATTTAGTTTACTTCAGAGATCTCCAAACTTGGCAACTTTAAGGCTTGTGGACTTCAACTCCCAGAAATCCCCAGCCAACATGAATTCTGGGAGTTGAAGTCCAGACGTCCCCAAGTTTGGGGACCCCTGGTTCACTTTATTGTCATTGCCCCTCGTACAACAAAATTAAATACCACCTTCAGCATACATTATGACTTTGAAAATAAACACAAACACACATCCTTCACATTCTATCCAGGGATTTTCAAACTTGACAGCTTCAAGACTTGTGGACCTCAACTCCCAGAATTCCTCCTCCAATCATGTTAGCTCAGGAATTCTGGGAGTTGAAGTCCACAAGTCTTAAAGCGGTCAAGTTTGGAGACCTCTGCTCTATATATTGAATTGAAAACCCCTGATATTGCATTAATAGAGTTACTTCAATAGAGTTACTGCCCTGTATTTACAGCTTTCCAAGTAGCCATTCAGATTTAGGGGAGTAAAACTACCCTTTTTATTTTCCAAAGAAATCCATTAAGTTTGAATGCCCTGGATATCCAAATATGTTTACAGGACTATACTGTACAGGCAAAAGTGGTGCCAGTCTATCCCTTATAGTCTCCATGCCCTTTTTCCATAGAGATGTCAAAGATAGAGCGACGTTGTATTTTCCCTCCAGGGAAGGAGGAAAATTGTTCAGGCCGGAAGTCTAGTTTTGTATTTATTTTATATTGCTTAATCTCTCGTTTGCATCATAGGAGGAATAAAAGTGAGACAGAACCAGGAGGGGGAAACGAGGGGAGGGGAAAGAATAACCACAGCAGGAGTAACGTAAGGGAAACCATTCTTTGAACGGTTACTATAGCAACCCGCAAAGCGGCAGGCCCAAAAGAAAGGGTGGAGCAAAATCGGGGCCGTATTCTTCCGTTCCAGAAAAGGGCGGGTCTTCTACAGTGGACAGCCAATGGGGAGTGCGGAGGAAATATAAATGCCTCCTGGCGGGAGAATATTGTAATTACGTAAGGAAAGAACAAGGAATTCCTGAACATGGCGCATGCGCATAGCAGCCCAGGTGTCCAAGTTTGGTGGAAACTCAATGCTTAGAAATACTATGTGCTCAATTGAATTTTTTAGCCAATGCATTCAGACCAACATTTCTTCAATTATAGTTTAATCTTACTTATATGTATTGTTGCATTTGCTTCCCATGGCAATTAGTTTGCAAATCAGCTGTAATGATTTGCAATCTTATGAGCTTAGGAAAATAGAATAAAAATACATTTCCAATATGGAAAGGACGGTGGAGGTTAGGAAAACAAAGCCATTCGTCCTGCACAGATCAGGTGAGAATCAACCCCTTTCTTTCTGTTTTTGAGAAACCGCAAACACTTGATTTTAATGTTTTATTTATGTCCATAAGGAAATCAGTCTTACTCCATCTTATCACATCTCTCTCTTTCTCTCTTGTCTGTCTGTCTATCTATCTATATCCTTTCTTTCTTTCTTTCTTTCTTTCTTTCTTTCTTTCTTTCTTTCTTTCTTTCTTTCTTTCTTTCTTTCTTTCTTTCTTTCTTTCTTTCTTTCTTTCTTTCTCCTTCTCTCCCTCCCTCCCTCCCCCTCTCTCAGTTTAACAATCAATTCTCTATGACATCCCATTGTTTATAGTATGCCAGTCTCTGAAACTGAGTAAACACCAGGAAATGTTCTTGAAATATATACAGAAGGATTTTTGGAATACATCCAAAGATATATAATCCTGATAAAGGCTCCTGTTATAGCCTTATTTGGTTATACTGCAGTTGTTTCCTTACAAAAGAGCTTATGTTTTAATGACATTTACTTATTGCACAAGTGGCCCATATTCACAGCTGTTCACAGATAAGTATAGGATCAAAGGGCAAAAGGAGCAGGAAACTGATAAATACCAGTGGGGAAAAAATCAAAGGGAAGAAAAGGATTTGATCCTTGTTGAGACAAGTGTGGAATTAATTGCCGAGCTAACCACCCTATCTTGGGGTAAGTATGGACTTGATTTAAACCATCACTTTCCCTAAGTGTTCTGCCCATATTGGTTTGAATGCGGTTGCCAGTAGCGGATTGAGCAAAGGTGAGTTGTAAGAGGGATTTAGATGAAAAGACCAAGAAATCGTAAGTTTCCTTTCAAAGCTGGCTGAGAAGCTGCTGGCTTTGGTGGTAGAACATCCCCTCTACATTCAAAATGTTGTAGGTTTGAACTCTGCCCTTGTGAACAGCATCTTCTAAAATGATCCAGAAACAAGAATATGGAACGAAGAACAAGTCAGATGAGAAGCAGAGCTAAAAGGGAAGCAGACCAAAATGAGAACTGAAGGAACCTTAGGGAAGACCTTGTAGCCCAACTAACGTTTTCCTAAAATAGGAGGTTGTTTAGGGAAGCTCTTTTTCATGGTCATCCAGAAGATTTTTCTACCAGAAAGTCCCCAGCCCTAGTTTGTATATTCCTTGCCAGAATCATCCAACACAACGCCACCAAAATTTAGCGTATGTTTTTCACTGCTGCAGAAAAAGTATTCAGGAATTGCATGTTCCTTTGGACCTTCTGGCTAACGACTGTACTCAATCAGTTAAAACAGTTTCTTCCAGCCCTGGACTCTTAAAAGTGCAAGTTATTCAGCTCTTAACTCTGTTTTTGTGTCACTTGAATATGAAATAAGGGAATGGTAGAAAAGGAGATAGGTTACTTTAAGTCAGTGCTGGCCAACATTTTGGCTTGTGGTGTCAAAAATTTGGAAAATGCCTAACTCTGCTGGCATATCACCGGCCAGCACCTCCTGAAGAAAAGAGAAACAATTCTGTATATATTCATATATATAATTATATATAATTAAATTATTAATGTTATATAAATATGTGTGTGTGTGTGTGTGTGTGTGTGTGTGTGTGTGTGTGT